AAAAAAAGGATCAGTAGTTGGAAGATATAGCCTTGGGATAAACAATGCTGGAGATCACATGATAGGATTTTTTTTTAAGCTTTTAATGTGAATTGAGTGATAATGTACATGGGAAAACAAACTCATCATATTTTGTTTCCTTGCAATGATTACAATCCCCTCCATGCATCATCATTCAACAGTATTTGCTTCTATTCCCTCTGGGTTTATTATTTTTTTTTTGGGGGGGGGGTCTGTTTTGTTTTGTTTTTTAATGTACACAAAAACATTCAGGAATATATAATCATTGCACATTCTGCAAGCCTGCCTTCCTGGCTCCCAGCACACAGCCTTTCTCATTCCACTAGTCTAGAGTCCTCAGCTGTTCTATCTCTCTATGCCATCATCTCTGCCTCCATCTCTGGTGTCGCTGCTTCTCTGGATAGGGTCCCATATTCTGCTCATGCTCTTCTCCCTTGATGGTTCTAGGGTCCTCTGTTCCTGGACTGTAAGCTTAACTACTAACTTCTTTATGTTACAAAACTTCTAACTTTACATTTGTGACTGTCGCAATTAGTCATGATAACAATTACTCATTACTGAATCATAAAAATCTTATCCCCATCTCCTTTCACCAGATCCGTCTAGACAAGATAAAAATTATTCAATGGGGTGGGAGGGGGTTCTACCTTCTCCCACACACTCTTAAACTAAACTCCCTCTTGAACTTGTACACTAGTCGCTTCATGCCCTTATAGCCCTCCAATTTTTGGTAGCCAATATCTAAGTTGCCTGTCCCTGTATACAAAGGGGATAGGATTGATACTTGATGTGAAGACTCCATCTGTCTCTCTCAGTTGGTATTTTGAACTACTACATCCATAAGTATAGGTCAATTTCCTCAAAGTGTAGCAATTTACACTTGTTTCCTTTATCAGATGTTTTGATTTTTTCTCTTATTCGAGTCGAGTTGTGATCATCAAGCCATCAAAGCTAGGTCAAAGGGGTACTGTCTGCAAGTCTGGGCTTCCTGTGAGTCTCCCCTCACTTCATATCAGCTTCACAGTCAGCTCTAGCCCTCAAGTCACCTCCAACTCATGCCAACCCATATGTGTCAGAGTACAACTGTGTTCGCCAGTCCTTTCTTCCGAGGTGCCTTTAAGTGGACTCAAACCTACAGCCTTTCAGAAGCAAATTCATCATTTGTACCACCCATGAACTTCTGTGCCCTGTGTTGTACCTGTTATTAGCTGCCATTGAGTAAGTTCCCATTCATAGCGACCCTGAATAGAGTTTCCAAGGAGTGGCTGGTGGGTTTGAACCTTCCAATTAGCAGTCCAGTGCTTACCCTACAGCACATAGCGTATTATTTTATAGTTGGTTGTTTTCCTGGATCCCCATACTCCCTGTTGCCCACAAATGCCAGCCACATTGGGTTCCTTTCTATCCTTCAAGTAAGAACACTCCAAGCTCTTCATGACCACAGTACACTGGACTGGTAGCCCTGGTTCCCACTGACTTCCTCTGCCAAGCCTTCCTTCACTCAGATGCCACCTTTTCAGGGAGCTACCCATCACTGCTCACACCCTTGTCCACCCCCACTCAGCCTCAGTTCCTCTTGATCACATGGCCGTGTTGTTTCATTTAGGTCACTTAGTCATGTAGTGTTTTGCTGTTCATTTATTCCTTATTCATATTTACCACCACCCTTGGTCAGAACGTAAGTGCCGTGGAGCAGAGCCTTTGGCTGTCTTGTTTTTCCCGTTAGCTTCAGTACCGATAGTAGTGCCTGACGTCAGAGACATTCAGTAAATACTTGTTAAACAGAGGTTTGCCCATTGGTGCGGCCACTGTGTCGAGCCGTGTTTCCTTCTGTTGCACGTAGGTTCACCCATTCAACAGCACCTCACCTCACGTGGAGGGCCAGCAAGGTGGATATAACAGCTGTGTTGGGGGGGCTAGTTATTTTCTCATCACTGACCCACCTCTGAGTGCACTCCTCCGATTCCAGGAAAGGGGTGGAGAGGAGAGAGCTCCATGTTGAAGGCACCATGATGCTGCCACCAGCCTGCAGCTTTTTGGATCAGGAAACAAGTCTCTCCATTGTTTATAATAGAGCACAGGCCTGGGATTGGCCATTGGTCATTAGCTGTGTGACTCATGGTCAATCACCTCCTACCAGTGAGCCACAGTTTCCTCACTGTATAATGATGGGCTGGGACTGGAAGGTGTCTGAGCTCCTGCCCAGCACTGGGGATCTGGAACAATGGATGCCAGTCATTCACTGACAGGTGCAGATGTACCTAGAGCCTGGGTGGGTCACCCAAGACACGTCTTCCTGGGCAGGAAGTCCACTCAGGATGACATTAGAGCTCAGACAGTCACTTGATGAGCATCAGAATTAGAGCACAGTCAATTGGTAAGGAGTGTTTTTTTGTTTGTATTGTTTTGTTTGAGTGATGAATAACATGATGGATTCTGGTCAAAAGTGTTTTCTACTCAGAAAACACAGAGCATACATCCGGAGGCCTCCATCCTTCCACGGTCAAAGTATTGGCTACTATTTATAGAATTTATTTCTCTTCTTTTTCCTAGACTCCTTCTGTTACCTTATTTACTGTTTAGGTCACAAGGATTAGATTTCAACTGTTGTTAGTTTAATCACACCCATCTTTGTCTGACTGATTGTTGTAGTTGTTAAGTACTATTGAGTCGGTCCCGACCCATATAGGGTTTCCAAGGAGTTGCTGGTGAGCTTGAACCACCGACCTTGTGACTCAAATAGACTTTACAGTTCAGAACATTAACCCACAGTGCCATACCAGGACTCCAAATGACAGTGATGCTGAATGTGAGGACTGAGGATTCCACACTAAAAAAACTTAGGAGAGTTTTTATGCACTGAATGGTGTCCCCCAAGAATCTGTACTGTAAATCCTGGCCTCTGTGCCTGTGATCATAATCCCACTTAGGAATGGTTTATCTGTATTTGGGGAAGGAGACAGGACAGGATTAGTGTAGTGTGTATCTTGTGTCAGTCTTTAGAGTGATGACCAAGATTCGAGTAGCCAGCTAGAGAAGCCGAGAGGGAGGGGGAAGAGACTCCAAGTGAGCTGAGATGGCCCAGGAACCCATGTGCAGAAGTACAGACCTTGCCTCAAAGATGACATTTGTCCTTTATATCTGAAGGCAGTGTGGTGTCTCACCGTCAGATACGGAAGGACAAAGGAAGATTCCGTAGGTATTTGAGGAGAGCTTCTAATAACAATAATAATGGTAATAAAATCCTGAAGATAAGAGAACAATTTGCACCTGTGGAGCACCTGGTGGATTTGAACTGCCCACTTTGCTGTTCACGGCCCAGTGCTGCTTTTTCAAGAGGAGGGACAGGAAGCCAATAGTTCTCTGTCGTTAGGAGATTCTCCGTTGATTTTGACTCACTGGTGATCTCCTATGTGCAGAAGAAAATAGGATAAGCACTCAACCACAAGGTCAGTTTGAACCGCAAGGTCGGTGGTTCAAGCTCGCCAGCTGCTGCTCGGAAACCGTGCACAGGGTTTGAACCACCTCGACGGTACTTAACAAGAACAACAATTTATACTAAGTAGAGGGATTGCTGGGTCAGGTCTTAAGGTATTTCTATTTTCAACTTTGTGAGGAAGCGCCATACCATTTTCCACCATGGCTGACCCATTTTACAGTCCCTCCAGCAATTTAGGAGGGTCCCAGTCTTTCCATACCCTCACCAGCATTTGTGGTTTTCTGGTGTTTTTGTGAACTTCATTGTTAATGCTGGTGTGCAGTGAGATCTCATTGTTGTGATTTGCCTCTCTCTAATGGAGACCTCATGTGGTGCTGTAGGATAAGCACTGGACCACAAGGTCAGTTTGAACTACAAGGTTGGTGATTCAAATCCACCAGCTGCTCCTCAGAAACCCTATTGTTGTTGTTAACTCCTGACAAGTAGGTTCTGACTCATAGCGACCCTGTGTAGTAGGGTTTCCAAGGAGTAGCTGGTGGGTTTGAACCACCGACCTTGTGGTCCAGTGCTTGATCCTACAACACCACATGGGTCACTGTGACTCAGACCTGACTCAAAGGCACTAGTAACTACAGCAATGTGATTCCTCATTGGAAGGGTGACTCTCCCTCTGGGTTGTGAGCTCCCAGAGACCAAGGACTGCGTCTGACTTTGCTCGCTGCCATGTTCTTAGTGCCTGGCACAGTACCTGGCACCAAGATACTGCTTTGATGAGCGCGTGTGCATAAGCAGGCATGTGGACAGAGACAAACATCCAGAAACAGTTGAAGTCTAGTCGATTCTGACTCCTGGAAATCCCGTATGTGTCAGAGCAGAATGTGTCCCATCGCATTTGGGGTTTCAGCAGTAGATGACTAGGGCTTTCTTCCAAGCTGCTTCTCTGTGAGCTCAACCTCCCACCTTTCCATTAGCAGTCAAGCACATCAACCGTTCGTACCACCCGGGGCTCCTGTAAGATCAGGCAGGGCTTTTGTCTGAGTGGTGGGCTTACTACTCCAACCTCTGTTCAAACCTCTGCTCGACCATATAACTACCTGACTTGGGCACATTCCTATTAAGGCTTCACTGTAATGGGGTAATGCTGTGGGATGAAGCACTGGACTGCAAGGTCTGTTTGTACCACAAGGTCGGTGGTTCAAGCTCACCAGCTGCTCCTTCAAATCCCTACGCAGGGTCACTATGAGTCGAAACGGACTTGATGGCACTTAACAACAACATAATGACAACCGGTACTGCAGTTGTGCACTTAAACATGATACCTTGTACATATCACAAACATATTCAAACTTCTAGACTGTCTAAGGAGTCCTGGTGTACTGTTGTAGGATAAGCACTGGACTGCACCAGCCACTCCTTGGAAACCCTATACAGAGTCGCTATATGTTGGAACTGACGCAACATCCCTTAACAATGAGCTATGTAAGGTTTCTGTGACTGTAAAACTACAGTGTAATACTTTCTGACTCTTATTTTTCATTAGTGAACTTCTGCAAGATTTGGAAAACTGTGAAAATGATCCTGTGGCCATAGCTGAATGTTTTGTGTCCAAGGTAAGCAGGGTTCGTTTCTGTGGGCCAACTGAGACAATAAAGAGGACAGATGGTCTTTAGTTTCAAAGTTAAAATGATGAGTTTGTCCATATTGGATGAATTTAGCTACTAATTTCTCTTGATCTGTTTTTATTTGTTTGTTTGTATTTAACCAACAAAGAAAAAATATATATAAACTAATACTGGGGAAAGGAAAATGCTAGTGGCTGTCCTAGAACTTGCATAGTAACTGGTTTTATTCATTCCTAGGAAAAGTTTTGTAAGTTTAGAAAGGAGTCTAGAATAGGAGAATGGTTATGAATCGAGTGTGTCTCAAAAAAATCTGTATTGTAAATGGTAACCTCAACACCTGTGATTCTCACCCCATTAGAGAACAGGTTGTCTTTGTTATATTAATGAAGAGGATTAATACAGGATACGTAGTCAGTCAATCTCGTTGTTGTTGTTGTTGTGAAGTGCCAACAAGTCAGTTCCAACCCATAGCGATCCTGTATAGGGTTTCCAAGGAGCAGCTGGTGAGCTTGAACCGCCAACCTTGCAGTTCAGATGGCTTTGCAGTCCGGCACATTAACCCACAGCACCACACCAGGACTTACAAAGTATAAACAGAACCAGCAGCAGTCGGGGGTGGGGGAGATGGCCAGCCACAGAAAGTTCACCCAGGAGCAGACGTACAGAAGAGACAAGGGCCTTCCTCCTGAGCCAACAGCGAGGGAGAGCCTGCCCTAGAGCTGGCGCCCTGATTTTGAACTTCTCCCCTCCTTAACTGAGAACATACAGCCACCCCCACCCCACCCCCACTTGTGGTAATTCTGTTACAGCAGCAGTGGGAGGATTTCCCTAAAAAAATACCTAAAATGTGAAATTGGTTTTGGAATTGTGTAGTCAGTAATGGTTTTTTACTGAAAAAATAAAAATAAAAAACCATAGGAGCTCTGGTAGCGTAGTGGTTACGAATCGGGCTGCGAGCCTTAAGGTCAGCGGTTCGAAACTACCAGCCGCTCCGCGGGAGAAAGATGAGGCTTTCTACTCCCGTAAAGATTTACACCCTCGGAAACCCTGTACAGGGTCGCTATGGGTCGGAACCGACTCGATGGCACTTAACAACAAGGAGTCAGTAATGGTTAGAAGAGTTTCAAGCTGTAGGATAAGCATTGGACTGCTAACCGCGAGGTCGGCGGTTTAAAACCCACCATGCACTCCTCAAAAACTCTATAAAGGGTTGCTGTGTGTCAGAACCAACTCCACAGCAACAAACAACAACAATAGACAACGCTTATATGGCCTTGAGGGAGACTGTTGGTTGAATTCTGGATGTCAAGGGGAATTCTGGTGAGATTCTCAGAAGGAAATGGAGAGAGGTCTAGAGAATGTCTCTGTCACCTAAGAGAATGCATATGGTGCCTGCAGTTGCTAGCAATGCACTTCTGCTGAGGTATGGGGCCACCTAAAGCAAAGGAGTCCTAATGTGGTGCTGCGGGCTAATGTGCTGAACTGCAAGATCGGCAGTTCAAGCTCTCCAGCTTCTCCTCAGAAACCCTATACAGGGTCACTATGAGTCAGAACCAACTCAATGGCACCTAACAACAAAGTGAAGCAACCAGACTACAATCACAGGCTGAGCAACTTGAGCCCACCAGTTACTGTGCAGGAGAAAGATGAGGCTTTCTGTTCCCACAAAGATTTATAGGCTCATGGAAACAGCAGTCAAGAAATCAAACAGCATACTGCATTAGACGAATCTGCTGCACAAGACCTTTTTCACGGGTTCATGAGCAAAAAGATATCAGTGTGAGGACTAAGGTGCACCTGACCCAACCAATGATATGAAGTCTCATATGCATGTGAAAGTTGGGCAGTGAATAAGAAAGACCATAGAAGATTCATGCATTTGAGTTGTGGTGTTAGAGGAGAATTTTAAAGTACTGTGGACTGCTAGGCAGACAAACAAATGTATATTGGAAGCTGTACAACTAGATGCTCCTCAGAAGCCAGGACAGTGACTTTGTCTCTCATACTTTGGACATATTATCAGGCGGAACCAGTCCCTAGAGAAGGCTATCATGCTTAGTAAAGTGGAGGTCAACAGTCAGCCATCTGAGGAGGTAGTATATTATCAAGAACAGATGAAGCTAAAGGAAGAAATCCACGCTGCATTGAAAGCATTGGCTCCAGAAATTGACAGCCTACCAATTCAGATGCAACACTGGACGCACTCACTGGTCTTTGCCAAGAAATCTGGAAGACAGCTACCTGGGCGACCGACTGGAAGAGATTCATATACATGCTCGTTCCAAAAAAAAAAGATCCAGTAGAATGCAGAAATTCACGTACAATATCAGTAATATCGAATGCAAGTACGATTATGCTAAAGATAATTCAAAACCAAAAGCAGCAGTTTATCAACAGGGAACTCTCAGAAATTCAAGCCAGTTTCAGAAAAGTATATAGAATGAGGAATATCATTTCTGATGTCAGATGGATCTGGCTGAAAGCAGAGAATACCAGAAAGACGACCTTTTATTGACGGTGCAAAGGCATTCCATCATGTGGATCATAACAAAACATGGAGAACATTGTGAAGAATGGCGATTCCAGAACATTTAATTATGCTCATGAGGAACTAGTAGATTGGCCAAGAGGCAGTGTCTAGAACAGAACAGGGGATACTGCAGGACTTAGAATCAAGAAAAGTGCATGTTATGGTTATATCCTTTCATCGTCCTTGGTGAACCTGAGCAAATAATCTGAGAAGCTGGACTTTATAAAGAAAAACTCAGCATCAGGATTGGAGGAAGGCTCATTAACAGCCTGTGATATGCAGATGACACAACATTGCTTGCTGAAAGTGAAGAGGGCTTGAAGCACTTATCAATGAAGGTCAAAGAATACAGCCTTCAGTATGGATTACATGTCAATGTAAACAAAGCATAAATCCTCACAGTTGGACCAATAAGTAACATCAGGATAAACAGAAAAGACTGAAGTTGTCCAGGATTTTATTTTACAGGATCTACAATCAACAATCAACACTCATGGAAGTAGCAGTTACTAAATCAAACAATATATTGCATTGAACAAATCTGATGGCAAAGGATTTTTCTAAAGTGTTAAAAACAAGAATGTCACTTTAAGGACTAATGTGCACCTGACCTAAGCCATGTTACTTGTGATCTCTTCATCTGTATGGGAAAGTTGGACAATGAATGACGAGGAAAGACCACCAGAGAAGAACTGATGCCTTTGAATTATGGTGTTGGCAAAGGATGTTGACTGTATTATAGACTTCCAGAAGAATAAACAAACCTGTCTTGAAGGAAGTACGGTCAGAATGCTCCTTAGAAGTGAGGAAGGTAAGAGTCTCTCACATACTTCAGACATGTTATCAGCAGGGACCAGCCCTTGGAGGAGGACATCGTGCTGGTAAAGTAGAGGGTCTGCAGAAAAGAGGAAGACCCTCAGTAAGAGAAACTGACATAGTGGCTGCAACATGGATTCAAGCGTAGGGGAAGATTGTGAGGAGGGCACGAGATGAGGTTGTCCATAGTACAATTCTGTTGTATGTAGGGTCACTAGGAATTTAAGTATTTTGTATTTGTGTGGGTAACTGGCCGAGGCGCTAAAAAATATCTCAGTTTCTGAATTTTAAAAATCTAAATTCTAAAATTTGAATACAAAAGGAAAGCAAAATTAATCCTTATATCTTCAAAAGGCACTATTATTTTTTAGTTTTGGGGTTTTTTTTTTGTAGTCAATAGATAGCACAGCACTTGCCATTTCTATAGTCTTCGTACATTAATTACCTTCAGCATCACTGTTAACCGTTCCTGAATTGTCCCATCAACCATAACATAAAACAGCGTTGGTGGTTTGGAAAACTACAAGGAAGAGGATTCGACTCTGAAAACTCCCATGGCAGCCTGTTGGCACCCAGTACTGGATAGACACTAGAAATGTGAAACATCCAAGGCAATCTGTTACCCAGATTCTTCTAACCTTGCTGTATCATCCTGGAGTGGCACCGTGGGCTAATGTGCTGGACTGCAACATCAGTTTGAACCACAATATTGGTACGTCAAGCTCACCAGCCTCTCCTCAGAAACCCTATTATGGGGTCATCATGAGTTGGAACCCTCTCAAGGGCACTTAACAAAAATAACAACCTTGTTACCAAAGCCTCTTTAAAAATTCAACAGCTTTTGTTTGCAGAAATTGCTTTGCAGAAAGACTTCATGTGAGTTCTGCACTTGTGGTTGTAAATCTGCAAAGGTTTAAGTGAAGTTGGTGGTGGTGCTTTTGGATTATGGAAGAATTAGCACCTTGTAGAGATAACCCAAGTCCACTGTGAACTGAGATGTCCCCCCTAACCCCGTCTGCCCTGACTCCAGATTTGTCCCATGGTCATTTCTGCTGAATCCTTCCAGATGGTTTAGGTCCAAATATAACACCCTGGGTTTTATTGACATTCCTGTAAGGCATTGGAGGGCCTTGTGTAGAATTCTGGCTTTGTGCTTGTCTGTGTTTTAGCATGTAAAATGTTTGAGTGTGCATATTTACACACTTCTTTCCCCAAGTTGGCTGTGTCATCTTCAGTACTAGTCAAAGATTTGAAGAAGAGAAAGAGAGGGCCAAATGGGTAAAAAGATACGTGGAATATATATCAAAGAAGATATGTTAAAATAACCACAGCACATAAACAGCATACAAGTTTTCAGAAACATTTGAGCTTTTTCTGGTAACTGTAATCAGAAGTCGATTAAAGAGGTTCCAGCATATGCTTCAATCTGGCCTAATTATTCACATAAAAGTCTGTTTATGTGCCACGTTGCCAACTCCCAAATCTTCTCTTTCATTGTAATTCTGCCAAGTTTAATTACAAGACTAACTTGAGCACTCCACACTTTCACATGTGAGCCGGTAAGGGTGAGGGAGTGTTTGGTTCTGGCATGACCTGCTTCTCACTCAGCACCCTGAAATTTAGGAGACGGGAAGTTTGCTGA